CTGCAGTTCTCCCAGCTGTTAGCCCCCTGTCTTCATGCTTTCTGGCCTGACCCCCATTCCTTTGTGTCCCATCTCTGTCTTTTCCTTTGGTCGACAACACTACCTGCTAGGGCTGATGAGAGGATTATTGCTGTGTGTGGGCAGCTTGAGTTCAACTCACTGTGAACCCACATGACAGAGCACAGCTGTCTGTGGGTGGTGGTGGTGGGGATTTCCTCTGCTGTTATCTTTCCAGGAAAAGGAGCCCTGGTGGCCCTGAGAGTTAAATGCTAACACAGAGGTTTAAACCTCCTCTGTGGGAAAAAGATGAGGTACCCAGCTTCTGTAAAGACAGTTTTTGTTAAGTGCCGTCTGGCTGATTCTAATTCATTGCAACCATGTGTATAAACTGAAGGCAACCAGGCCCGATCCCAGGCCGTCCTCACAAGCTCTGTGTAAGTCCATTGCTACAGCCACTCTGTCAATGCAGCCTCCTCTTCCTCTCTCTCCCCACCCACCTCCTGACAACAGGCCCAAAGCATGTAAAAATGGCAGCCTCGGAAACCCTATTAGGACGTTAGTTCTCTGCTCTGTGAAGTCACTATGTGTCAGAATCACGCCCACAACAGTGGGTTTGGGTTTAACTCTATGGGATCCTATCACCCAGTCTTTCTTTGCTGGAGACACTTAAGTGGGTTTGAACCATCAACCTTAGAGTTTGCAGTTGAACACTTAGCTGTTATCCCACAGAGCTCCTTGATGTGAGGTTAAAACTCACAACAAATGCCTGCAAAGGGTTGAAAATAGTGCCTGAATATAGGAAGTCATCCATCCATCCTTCATCAATCCATCCATCCATTCATTCATTCATCAATTCAATTGTTCAAGTTTGGTCTTTGTTATATTTTTGAATTGTATTTTTTTTTCTACCTCTCCCTCAGGCCCTGTCCAGGACCATCCATTGTGATCTAGGGATAGTTTGGCACCATCTAGTTCTTCTGATCTCTGAGTAGTGGAAGTGTGTGGTTCTTGGAACTCATTGGTCCTTTGAACTGACTGTTTGTGTCTTTGATTCCGTCCCTCCCACTCTTTTTTTTTTTTCTATAATTATATTTTATTAAATTTTCATAAACATTTACAGAGATTTTGGGCTTCCACTCATTCATTGTTGCACTATTCTCTCTACCCTCCTCCCAGTTTGTTCTTGTCCAAATGCCACAGTGCTTGTCAAAGCCAGTTCTGATTAATCTTCTTTGTCAGTGTATCCTTTGCCATTCCCTATCACTCCTCCCTGAGAGAGACTTCACCCTGAGTCATAAAGGAAAAGGGGACGGCGTATTCTCTTAGCTACTTCCTGCTGAAAAGGGACGCTGTGGGTTTCAGGGTGAAGATCTTCTCTCACTACTCTAAAGGGCCCCTTTGGCAGTAGGAAACACATAGACTATTATGGAGATTGATTTTGGAATTCAGATGCACTCTTATTGATTGTGCTTGGCTGTACATGTACATATCCTTCAAGATGTATCATGGGGGTGTTGCAACCTAGAAGACACAAATTTGACTAACAAGTTATAAGTACATGAGTCCAAAAATTATGGAAAAGTAAAAGAAAAGATTCTTTCATTGTTTTACAAACCCTCCCCCAGGTCCCCTCCACCATGCAGCCCTCGCTCTAGTCTCCTGTGTTGACAGAAATACCCAGTTACATCTCTCTTTTAGACGGTTCTCTCCCTCCTCTGCTTCAGTGCAGTATACATTATTGAACCCATCTTACTCAGTGTCTCCCCAACCCCAAGGACAGTCCCATTCTACAACAGTGGCATCATGTAATATTTGTCCTTTTGTGACTGGGATATTTCACTCAGCATAATGTTCTCCAGAGTCAACCATTTTGAATAATATTGCATGAGTTCCTTGTTTTTTAATGCAGCATAGTATTCCATTGTGCGAATATACCACAGCTTCTCTAGCCATTCGTTTGTTGATGGGCACTTAGGTTGTTTCCAACTCCTTGCTATTGTGAACAAAGCTGCAATGAACATGGGTGTGCATATATCTGCTTGGATGTCAGCTATGGTCTCTTCAGGGTATATTCCCAGTAGTGGAATTGCTGGGTCAAATGGTATCTCTATTTGCAACTTTTTGAGAAAGCGCCATACTGCTTTCCACAGGGGTTGCACCATTTTACACTCCCACCAACAGTGAATCAGGGTTCCAGTTTCTCCACAACCTCGCCAGCATTTGTTGCTTGCTGTTCTGTTAAATTTTGCTATTTTGACTGGGGTGAAATGATATCTCATAGTTGTTTTAATTTGCATCTCTCTTAGTCCCTCCCACTCTTCTTGTTTCAACTCAGGAGGGATCAATTGTTGCATCTCAGACGGCCCACGCAGAAGCTTTGAGCACCCTAATTGCTACTCACCAGATCAGCATAGAAATCATTGTCATTGTCAACGCTATTGTGCTCATGGCACTAAATGTCTCTTGAGACTAACAGACTACAATTTTAAATAGTGTGGCTTGGTGAGCCCTCTGGAGAGGTGACATTCGAGCAGATAGTTGAAGGAAGAGAGGGGGCGAGCCTTGGGGCTTTCTGAGGGAAAAGTGCTCCAGGCAGAGGGAACAGTCGCTGCTGAGGTTCTGAAGTAACCTGACTTATTAGAGGAGCAGCCAGAGAGGAGGCCAGTGTGGCTGGAGCCAAGGGAGGAAGGGAGGGGGACAGGATGGCACATGCCAGCCGAAGGGGAGGATTAAAGGGACCACGTGGACACTCATGGAGAGCCTGTTGCTTTGACTTTTTTTTTTAAAGTTTATTTTATTATTTTTATGTATGTGTACCGTCAAATCGGATCTGACTGGTACAGGAGGAGATTGTCCCTCCTTCCCCGGAAGAACATCTGGTGGATTCGAACCATGCACCTCTGGGATTACAGTGCAGCTTCTTGCCACTAGGCCATCAGAGCTCCCCTTGCTTTGACTTTTTATAAAAAAAAAAAGATTATTTTCCTTGGATATTGGTTTGCATGCAAACATTGCTTTGACTTTGAAGGAGAGACCAGGCCATGGCTGGAGTCTGAGGCGAGGGGCTTATATGGGAGCATGCGCCCTCTGGTGTCTGGATTGAGAATGGCCTGTGAGGGCTGTGGCAGGAAGCAGACAGTCCTGGTGGAGATGAGGTGAGTTTGCAGGTATCAAGCTTGGTAATTATCGTTGTTAACTATGATCGCATGGAGTACGACTCACAGTGACACCATGAGCATCAGATCTGAACCCTGTCCTATCCCTGAAGCACTTTCCATCCCTGAAACACTTGAGCCCATTGCTGCGGTCACCCATCTCTTAGAGGGTCTTCTCTCTTTCACTGACCCTCCGTCTTTCCAAGCATGATGTCGCTTTCCTAATAATAACTTGCCCAAAAATGTCAGATGGAAGGGGAGCTCTGGTGGCCTAGTGGCAAGGAGCTGCAACTACAATCCCAGAGGCACACAGTTCGAATCCACCAGATGCTCTGCTGGGGAAGGAGGGACAATCTCCTCCTGTATCAGTCAGATCTGATCTGAGTACACTCACACAAATATTAAAAAAAAAAAAAGTCAGGTGAAGCTTTGCCCTCCTGGCCTCCAAAGAGCACTCTGGCTGCACCTTTTTCAAGACCTATTGATTTGTCCTTTTGGGAGTTCGTGGGACAGTCACTACTCTTC